TCTGGTTCGGAGATTCTGACAAACTGACTGCAGCAGTGGCCGTTTACAGTGACATACCTGATTACTAGATTTACAACTCGGCGAGATCAGAAGGAATCAACAGAACAAATGGCAGACAGCAACCAGAGTCTGTCCTTACTGTAGGGTGACTATCCAACACACAGCTTCACCAAAACTGCGTCGCATTCTCAGTATTGCCACAAGGAGTGCAAAAGCACACATCAGTGTAAAATATGGCCAGTTTTCACTTTCAGATCATTATGTTGCTGATCAGCTAAGTCGTAATGTTAATAGTTACTTCATCAATAACACATCAGATATACTAGTACACACATTTGAAGGTGCAGCAGGGTAAATTATCTTTCTGGTCTTCAGGTTTCCTTATACATGCAGACACACACGCACTGAACAGAACTATAGTTATATAGGCTGCACTGCTGACAGAGGCCAAACAAGCCCATGATAGATTAGTGTTGCCCCACTGCAACCCCCCCAGAGTGTCACAAAACAACCTCGCTGGGCCTTAAATGAAACCGCTGCTTTAAGAATGCCCTGCATTACAGCACAGTGAGGGAGGAAACCGGGGGGGGGGGGGATGCATGCGGCGGGGGGAAGAGAACCTACAGACCACATTTCATGTTTGTGTGTGTGAGAGTGAGGAAGAATTTGACTGAAGTTTTTAAGTGCACTTTTTGTGTTTGTGAGTGTGTCCCTTGTTCGAAACTATTGTCAGATGTGCTGCCGTGGAAATGAACACTGACGTGAATCAGACATGCAAACAGCTGCAGTCAGAGCAGATCAGCCCAAATGTTTAGTCTGAGATGAGCCTCAAGAACGGGTCTGTTGGCTTTACTGTGTGACTCTACAGGCTTATCACTAGCTGATCCTGTTTATTTGTTTACACAAGTATCTGATGAGGCTTTTCACTCGTAAACAGATGAGAAATGAACTTGTGACTCTTGCTGCTGTGTCTCTGATTAAGGATGCTTCCATAAGCTGCCTGTATTTGACTGACTACTCAACAAGTCAACCCTCTTTATTAAATGCCGCTACATTTAATAAGTGTTATTCTGTAGAAAGCATCACGTAATAACAACATTCTCCACCACTGAAACTACTATTCAGCTGACGCAAAAGCTGTGTTATTGGGTAAAAATAACATTGGCCAATAATATCACAGCTCACTTTTTATAACCCAATCAATTCCAAATGGATAAAGATTGGCTGGATTTATGGATTAGTCCTGCCCCACATTATTTTTTTCCACTAAATATTCCGTTTTCCCCAGACAGTCCCGCCCCAAACTCATGCCACTGGCTGATTCGCATTTCAGGCCTATTTATTTTCACAGCTTTTTGAAGGTTTACCCAAGTGAAAGGACAGCACAGGCCCGGAGTGCTATCTTTGTATCTGAGTGCTTCCTGTTTTCATTGCAGGCTGACCCTCGTCTTAGCAGGAGACACGCTGAGGGCACCAACTGACTAATTGAGAGGATTCAAAGTTTGTCTCCATTAAACTGTTGGATGACCCTGCTACGATGTCAGTACAAACTACACTTCACCACAGTCCTGCGTCTCTCTCTCTGAGCCACTGTGAAGGTTCTTCTCCTTCTTGCTCATTAAATATGAAGCCTAATAGAGCAATACACCCCACAGTGGAGTTTATCTTTCCGATAACATAAGCTCTGTGCCGTATGGGAAAGCTTACGGCAGCCAGCTGGGATTTCCTCCCGCTAATGGCACTGGAAGAGATCCAGAGTGCTCCAGGAGGAAGAGCACATCTCTGGGGCTTCGACTGCAGCGCATTCTGACCCAAACTCTGGAGTTCTGCGGAAGCTCTTCGGTCGGGTGCAGAATGTGCCACATGCATCTCCTGTGGGACCATGCTTTGCACCCCTGTGGGATTGGCTGTTGGCTCAGAGAGACTTATAAGGGCGGACTCAGAGACTGTTCCTCGGAAGAGGAGGCCATCGATTTCAGCCCACAATTGTAACTGTTAGCAGGCGCGGTTTTTTTTGTGAGCGTGGGGGATGGAAATGGGGGGAGGGAAGGGGTTACGTCCTTTTGAGCCCCTCAGAATAGGTGACAATGGCTCAATGTTGAGAACATATGTAAAGGGACCCCCACCGCTCATGGAAGAGCAGCTCCGCTTTGGCCCCGCGGTTGAGAAAATACAACCTCGCCGCTTTTCTTTTGGCCCCTCCAATGAATGGTTGAATGGAGAGCTGCCGCTACGGGCCATTCAGGGCCAAAGTCCCCATGAATTCACCCGCACACAAATGCATCCTCAACTGGAAAATACATTTGCTTAACAAATTAAAATAAAAGGCCTGATGTGTTAGTGTGTGGCACAGCCGTGCGGTGTAAAGGATTGCGCGGGGGGCTGCAGTCGGTACTTCGGGATAATTCAATTCAATTCAAGTCTCTTTGGTCGGAAAAGGATGGAAAAAATAGAAAGCTGGGTTAAAAAGGATGGATTATTGCTCACGCTCATAAAAGACTCTGAAATAAGAGAAACGCCTAAAAGGACGACGGAAACTTCTGCATTTCCACTAATGAAAATTCTTCTTACGTTTTCATTGCATTTAAAACAATTCTAAACGAACAGGAGTGCATCTCTTGTGAATGTGGTGAATGGAGATCTCCCGAGCTGCCAGTAAAGATGCCTAATGATCTTTGAAAAAAGCGCGAAATTCCTGCGTGATATGGAGCCGAGTGAATGAACGAGAGGCGTTTGTGGGTAAAAGCGGCGAGGTAGGTGGTGGGTTGACGCCTCCCTCTTCACTGCTTTACACACAAGCTGAGCGCACCAAGCGGTTCTGGGAGCGTGAAGGGGACGACAAATGAAAAGAGTGCAAGAATAAAGCCGAGAAAAGCGAGGTGTCTTTGTCTGTCTGTCAAATTGGGCTGCGGTGGAGTCGTTCTGATGATGATGAGAGTTATAAGCGCATGGCAGAGTTCAGATTATCCCGCAGCAGTTTCTAATGGATTTACAGCCCTTTTAATTAGCTGTGTTTAAAGGGGTCCTATTATGCTTTTTCACTTTTTCAACTTTAGTTAGTCAGTAATGTTGCTGTTTGAGCATAAAAAAGATCTGCAAAGTTACAAAGCTCAAAGTCCACTTCAAAAGGACATTTTATTTAACAAAAATCACTTTTCAAAAACTACAACGAACGACTCGTTTGGACTACAACGCATATTTTCCAGG